GCGTGTTTATCTATCTATCTATCTATCTATCTATCTATCTATCTATTATCTATCTATCTATCTATCTATCTATCTATCCACCAACATTTTGGTGCTCTCATGATAACCCTTTTACTTGGGGCAAACCAAGCGTAAGATGGTTTCACGCATGCGAATCACTAATTATGAGATTAATAATGTCACAATTCCGACGCGTATGCCGTCAAACCCTTTCCGCTAGGCGTCTGGCGCATACTCGCCGTTGGGTAGGTGACACAGGCATGTCGGTATGTTGATAAGAGCTTGTAAAGAAGCGCACCTGCACCTGTCACGAGAGTGAACTGAAAGCTGAAAGCCAGTCAATCAATGCTAACTAAAAACCCAGGACAAATATGGCATGTAAACAATCGAGTGTGAAACTATATGTTTATGCAATATGTATCTTACTGCTGTTGACGTAGGTGGAAATTGTAAAACGATTCAAGAATTTAAACATTTAATATTGGACATGTTTGTTGAGTCGGATGCGGATGTGGTGTGCAATTTTTAATGTAACTTTCACTGCACGGATAATACAAATATTCGACGAGTGCATCGTAATGCTATTAAAAGTTATTGCTATTAGTATAGCTATTTACCACATTATTGATGTTTTGTTGTTCTTCTTGCATTAGTGCTTATGTTGTTATACTGTGATTACATCATTCATCATCATCAACATCAGCCTGACTACGTCCACTGCAGGACAAAGGCCTCTCCATGTTCCGCCAGTTAACCCGGCCCTGTGCTTGCTGCTGCCAATTTATACCCGCAAACTTCTTAATCTCATCTGCCCACCTAATCTTCTGTCTCCCCCTAACCCGCTTCCCCTTCTCTGGGAATCCAGTCAGTTACCCTTAATGACCAGCGGTTATCCTGTCTACGCGCTACATGCCCTGCCAATGTCCATTTCTTCTTCTTGATTTCAGCTATGATATCCTTAACCCCCGTTTGTTCCCTAATCCACTCTGCTCTCTTCTTGTCTCTTAAGGTTACACCTACCATTTTTCTTTCCATTGCTCGCTGCGTCGTCCTCAATTTAAGCTGAACCCTCTTTGTAAGTCTCCAGGTTTCTGCTCCGTAGCTAAGTACCGGCAAGATACAGCTGTTATATACCTTCCTCTTGAGAGATAGTGGCAATCTACCTGTCATAAATTGAGAGTGCTTGCCGAATGTGCTCCACCCCATTCTTATTCTTCTAGTTACTTCAATCTCGTGGTTCGGCTCTGCGGTTATTACCTGCCCTAAGTAGACATAGTCTTTTACAACTTCTAGTGCACTATTACCTATCTCGAAGCGCTTCTCTTTTCCGAGGTTGTTGTACATTACTTTAGTTTTCAGCAGAATAATTTTAAGACCCACCTTTCTGCTCTCCTTGTCTAGCTCCGTAATCATGAGTTGCAATTCGTCCCCTGAGTTACTCAGCAATGCAATGTCATCGGCGAAGCGCAGGTTACTAAGGTATTCTCCATTAACTCTTATCCCTAACTGTTACCATTCTAGGCTTCTGAAAACCTCCTGTAAGCACGCGGTAAATAGCATTGGGGAAATTGTGTCCCCCTGCCTTACACCCTTCTTGATTGGTATTCTGTTGCTTTCTTAATGAATCACTATGGTAGCAGTTTATCCTCTGTAGATTTCTTCCAGAATGTTTATATATACTTCATCTACGCCCTGATTCCGCAGTGCTTGCATGACGGCTGATATTTCTACTGAATCAAACGCCTTCTCGTAATCTATGAAGGCTATGTATAGTGGTTGGTTATACTCTGAGCATTTCTCTATTACCTGATTGATAGTATGAATGTGGTCAATTGTTGAGTAGCCTGTTCGAAATCCTGCTTGTTCCTTTGGTTGATTGAATTCTAATGTTTTCTTTACTCTGTTAGCAATTACCTTTGTAAATAGCTTGTATACTACAGAGAGCAAGCTGATCGGCCTGTAATTCTTCAAGTCCTTGTCATCTCCTTTCTTATGTATTAAGATGATGTTAGCGTTCTTCCAAGACTCTGGTACTCTTCCCGTCAGGAGACACCTCGTAAACAGGGTGGCTAGTTTTTCTAACACAATCTGTGCTCCATCTTTCAGCAGATCTGATGTTACCTGATCCTCACCAGCAGCTTTGCCTCTTTGCATGCTCTCCAAAGCTTTTCTGACTTCTTCTATCATTACTGGTGGGGTGTAATCTGGGTTACTGCTAGTTCTTATAGTATTAAGGTCGTGGTTGTCTCGGCTACTGTACAGATCTCTGTAAAACTCCTCCGCTATTTTAACTATCCTATCCATATTGGTAGTTATTTTGCCTTCTTTGTCCCTCAGTGCATACATCCGACTTTTGCCTATCCCAAGTTTCCTCTTCAATGCTTTGACACTTCCTCCGTTTTTCAGAGCGTGTTCAATTCTCTCCATGTTATACCTTCTTACATCGCATACCTTACGTCTATTAATCAACTTCGAAAGCTCTGCCAGTTCTATTTTGTTTGTTGTACTTGACACTTTCATGATTTGACGCTTCTTAATTAGGTTCTTCGTTTTCTGGGAAAGCTTGTCAGTGTCCTGTCTTAATACCCTGCCTCCAACTTCCACTGCACACTCCGTAATGATACTCGTCAGATTATCATTCATTGTATCTACGCTAAGGTTGCTTTTCTCACTAAGAGCCGAGTACCTGTTCTGCAGTGACACTCTGAATTCCTGTACTTTCCCTCTCAGTGCTAGCTGATTGATTGGCTTCTTGCGTATCAGTTTCTGTCGTTCCTTCTTCAAGTCTAGGCGAATTCGAGACCGTACCATTCTATGGTCACTGCATCGTACCTTGCCAATCACTTCCACATCCTGCACAATTCCAGGGTGTGCACTCATTATAAAGTCTATTTCGTTCTTATTTTCGCCATTAGGGCTCCTCCATGTCCACTTGCGGTTTTCTCGTTTTCGGTAGAAGGTATTCAAAATCCGTAAATTATTGCGTTCTGCGAATTCTACTAGTAGCTCTCCTCTGGCGTTTCTAGTACCGATGCCATAATGTCCTACTGCCTGGTCTCCAGCCTGCTTCTTCCCTACCTTTGCATTAAAGTCGCCCATCACTATAGTATACTGTGTTTTTACCCTACTCATTGCCGATTCCACGTCTTCATAGAAGCTTTCAACTGAAGCGTCATCATGGCTGGATGTAGGAGCGTAAGCCTGTACTACCTTCATCTTGTATCTTTTATTCAGTTTAATTACGATACCTACCACCCTTTCATTAATGCTATAGTATTCCTCTATGTTTCCAGCTATGTTTCTGTGAATTAGGAACCCCACTCCCAGTTCTCTTCTGTCTGCCAAGCCCCTGTAGCAAAGGACGTGCCCATTCTGTAGCACCGTATAGCCTCATCTGTCCTCCTAACCTCACTGAGCCCTATTATATCCCATTTAACACTCTCTAGCTCCTCGAATAGTACAGCTAGACTTCCTTCACTAAATAAGGTTCTAGCGTTAAACGTTGCCAAGTTCAGGTTCCAATGGCGGCCTGTCCGGATCCAGAGATTCTTAGCACCCTCTGCTGCGTTGCAGATCTGACCGCCGCCGTGGTCAGTTGCTTCGCAGCTGCTGGGGACTGAGGGCCGTGAGTTACTTGACGTAAGCATGTGGGAGGTAGCGGCCAGATACTGCACCAGGGTGGCCAGTCTTTCTCTGGTGAGGGAGTGCGTTCTCGGCGGTGTTTGCCGGTGAGGCAGCACCCCAGGCCTCTTTATGCAGTTCCATCAACACGCGGATTTTTTTTAATCCGGTATGAAACTGCGCGGTACCGGGATTCGAACCACGGACCTCTTGCATGCGAGGCGGATGCTCTAACCACTACGCCATCGCCGCTCATTACATCATTACTTTGTGTTCATTACTATTGCTACGTTATTACTATAATTGGTGATTATAAGCTTACTATAATATGGTTAAGTACACGTTGATTCAGAATTTTTAAAGCTGACTTGTTCTCAAATTCGTTGCTTCTGCTGGCCCAGATAGTGTGGTAGGGCATGGTCCGGAGGTTTGGATCCTCCTTTTGCCTTACCCTGCGGGCGAACCATGTATACATGTTATGCCAAAGAATTATATATATATATATATATATATATATATATATATATATATAATGTTTTTGCATGCAAACAATTTTTGGAAATAAACATGAAAGAAAAAACACTCGCCGCTATTGGGCGCACCACTCTTCCAAACAAAACACGACCACGCAGCTTTCTTTTGGGGTCACGCATAGAGTCCCCAATTTTTCTATCAGGAAAAAAATCTAGCCACTCCAGTCGCGCGGCTTTCTAGCACCGGTCATTCTCGTCCTCGTTGTTCGCGCTGTTGTACACTTGCATATGTACCAACAACCTCAAGTTCGCAAGCTTTACAGGATACCGAGCGCGCCCGGGCACTCTAATCCCTTCGTTTCATATACCTCAAAATGTTTTTGAACATAGTCAATCTCATTCCTCTGCGAGCCCTTCCGTTTTCATACCTTTACTGCTATGCAAGCCTTTGAGCATTTTTCAAACCTGAATCATTGCTGTTTTACAATGACCGTATATTTCAGATATCACTGCTGATAGAGGGAAGGGTTTGAGCAATAAAAGTGAAAGGGAGACAGTTGAGAAGTATAGAACACAGAGAACATTTTCTTGTGCATTTTTTTTGTTTATATCAGTTTGTTAACTTCACTGTTTTGTTCCCTACTGTTGCCCTATATGCAAGTTTTGATGTATGCCAGGTGGTTCAGAGTTCAGTTTCTGCTGCGGAACACACTCCTGCACCTTTAAACCTGTGTAATATTTGATACGAGAAATAGACAGGTTGATTGACTTCATAAATCACTGATGAGTCAGCATAGTGTTATTACGTATACCTCACGAAAAGCATGTCTCACATAGTCGCAAGTCAAGCTATACACATAAGTAACTATAATTAGTAACTGTGAGAGAAATAAAGTGGCAACTCACCACCCCCGGACCTTGGATGCTCTAACCGGAAATAAGGATTGGGATTTTGAATGAGGTATTGCTGTGAGAAAAAGAGAGAAAAATGTAAATTTGTTACTCTCAACACTTGTAGTCTTTGAAGAATGATTTAGCAAATTTGCGCCTAGCATATTTAATCATAAAGACCTAAAGAAATTATAGTCAGCACAGATGCAGAAACTCATTTCTCTATTTTTCTTAGTTTCCCGCAGCTCGTTGTACAAAAGACAGGGCTGTACTTCCCATTGTCTAGATACATAGGAGAAATAAACAGAGATAAATAAGGTTTGGGCCAGGCCGTGCGCAGCGGATTTCATTGGCAATATGAATTCATTCCATTCTGCACAATGTAGATCCAGTAGAGCGTGCGTAGATGACTTTACGGCTGTAGTTTATTCGAATAGGTCTGGCTTACGTACGTATATGATTGTTTCAGTGTGTTAATTTCAATATACCAGCAATTTTTATTGCGATAGCACTTATATTGACACTCTCGGCTGGACTTCGCCGCCGGCGTTGGCGTGGGGGGTGGGTGGGTGGGTGGGTGGGTGGGTGGGTGGGTGGATGTTTAAATAGCTTGCCATACTAACGAGTGGTTAGCATTTAATAACGTCCACTATATTTTTCTTGGTTTGTCGGTTGGTTCTGATTTTGTATTTTGAAAGCGCAGTTTCACTGGGGCTCTTCCTCAGTATATAGCGTAGATCATTCTATCGCCAGTTGTGCATAGCAGCATTGACAAAAAAAATTAAACCAATAGTTCTGCGATCACTATCTCGACAGTCAGAGACATTGTGCCTTCGGCTTTAGTTGCACAGCAAATTTTTTTTTTCTGAAATGGGGGTTTCCACCATACCATATGTATGTTCGTGCATGCGTTTGTGTGTGCCCATGCAAAATTGAAAAAAGTTCTTGGCGGGGAGGAATAACCTAAACCATCCTCTCTGATCGGCTTTGACAGAAAGTAGATTAATCCTAAACCCTCCTCTCTGATCGGCTCACACAGAAAGTAGATAGAACAGTTATATTTTTATCGGGTATAGGGCATACACTTTTATACTTTGATAACTGAAGAGATGTAGCAAAAATGCAACACTTGCCAAATGAGTACGCCGCGTATCGGGAAAATGCATTTTGTTTTGCGTGCAAGATATACTGTAAGATGTGTTTCTTCCTGCTCACTTATGGGACACAATAAACTACAAAAAAAGGATACAAGGTACCAGCAGAGTCATCGAAAGAAAAAGCAAACTTTTTTTCAGTAACACTGCGTAGCTTATTAGGTCATGCGCCTCTTGATACCCGCGCACACATGAAAACCCAAATGGCAATCATTTTCGGAGCTCTTCTCTAGAAAGTTCTTCCACACTTTTGGCATCACTTCTCAGCCAGACGTATTATTTGAGACGGCGACTGCGAGCTTTTAATTCATAGTATGCATGATAGTTACATTAGAGGACAAGATGTTTATGCTTAAAATGGAAATCTGCTAGTACGATGACTGTCTTGCACACGTAAATGGCTGGCATGCTGTGATTATATAGATAAAGCTTTCATTTTTTTTCATTTTGTTAGGTTTTTAGCGCACTATTCTTTCTTCGGGCTTTCAAGTCTGTTATGCATGGACTACGACACCGCTCTACGTTAAACTGAAAGGCTATGGTAAATATATGAGCAATATATGAGCAATATATGAGCAATCTTTCCGTATCCCTTGTTTTAATACTACTATAGGCTGTTGCTTTGTTCTGGGCTCGAAATTAACTGGTAAGCAAGCAGATAATCGCCATGATGCCGGACTCTACAGCAAGGGCTGCATCCAGCATGCAGTAACGCTCGTTAACTCCGGGATCAGCCAGCCGTCGTACTGAGATGATGCCCAGCTGGGCCGTCACGCTGTACGAACAAGAGTCCCGAGTCCTGCGGAGTCCGGAGGCCTACAGCAGAACCGATTAAAGCAATCAAGGATCAGCTCTTGATCAGCGCGCTTATTAGCTTTGTAATCCCGGTGTGGCCCCGTGTCTACATCGATGCTCGGGCTCATATTCGGAACCACAAGAAACAGATTCTCGGTAAATGAACGATAGCGCACAGAATCGGTGCCGAAATCTTGTTAACGCAATGAAAGGCTTGCCAGACTGTCCGAGATCAATCCTATAGGAGAAGAGATATACAGAACACACACTCGTAGAGGGTGCAATCATGTGAAAGCGGAAAAGTAAGCGCAGGAAATAAAGCAATATTCAAGAGTCACTGTATTTCGAAAACTGACAGGAAGAAATCACCGCTTAGAGACATAAAATACTATGAGAACTCACGGGATAGTGTATAAGTGGAGACATTGAACGTGGCGTAATAACGTCGTTGTTAATTTGAAATTAACAAAAAGTCGCTTTTGAAGCAAGAGCGAAAGAGTGAATGCAATAGCAGCAAGTTGGGATATTAAGTTAAGTAAGGCATATATAGAAGCTCTAAAAGCAATTTCAATTGTTTAAAAGACGAGCTTCCTAAGTTAGGAGATGTACTGTGCAGTGGCATAAATCGTTCATGAGAAAGTCAGAGGGGTCCTGATGCTCCCCCCTTTCAAGTGCTTAGGCGAGGGTGTGAGGAGGGGGCACACTGCTTTCAAGTGACCCCTCTTGTAATTTATCTTAAGAGCATGTTAAAGAACCCCAGGTGGTAGAAATTACCAGAGCCCTCCACAACGACCTCTCTCATCGCCATGTCGGGTTTTTGGGACGTTAAATCCCAAAAATTGCTGTTTAAATTGATCAATCAAACGCCAAATAACTGGGTGGTTTGACGGTTAACTATAGCACGTTCTTTGAATGCCTGCTTTTCTTTGGGGGTGTACCAGTGTTTAATACCCCTCAGCTGTGTGAGATTACAGAAATAGGAGCTGCCTTTCGATTGGTTTAAAAAAAAAAGTCAATATAACAATGCAATTCCGCTGCCTAAGAATCCATATTTGTTTGTAAATTTTAATGCAAGTAATTAGTATTTTTTATGAGTAAAAATAAGACAAACACTTATATCAACAAAATGGCTATCGTGACAAGACTTTTGTGTTAACTTGTGATTTTTTATTATTTACGCCAGTGCGGCGTACAAAAGGCCTGACGAGAGAGAAATTAGGTCGTTTGTCATAACACGCAGTAATTGTGCTTTTTTTCTTCTTTTTAGCTTATCGCTGTTCAGCCAGTTTCATACTGTGCGAGTCATATCCTCTTTCATTGTTTTTTTTTTTTTGCTACAAACCTTATTCTTTTCTAAGCAGTGTTTATTGTCGTGGCTATTTCTCTGTTATTTGCTTCGCACTGTCGCTGTGACTCCCTGCTTTTATAATCTCGCTGTTCTTTCTTGTAGTTTCTACTGAATAATTTCCTAATTGTTTGTAGTACTATGAACAATACTTGTTTTGCTGTTTCCGTGGCCCGGCAATAAGACTCTGGGATTGTTCCTGAACATCAGCATTTTTGTTCGTGGCTCCCACTCGTGGGGATGTGGGCAATATTTACGCGGTAACAGCCACCTTGAAGCACTGCATCAGTGAAGGGGCTCGAGATCGAAGTTGTGGCTCCTTCTAGACCCATTTTTGAGCAATGTCTGGGCGATGCACAATGCAATAACGCTGTTGGTGTTGTATATACCGTAGTTATCACCTTACTTTAGTAGCAACTGTAGTAGCTAGGAAAGCGAGGAAGCAGGCAAGCATATCCGGATTAATAATTAAGAATTGTTTTCGATCACTAGATAAGGAGTGATAATAAACATTATATATATTTTCAGAGCACGATACTGGAGGCAGCGTAAGGAACGAGGTTAAAAAAATGGTATCATAACTTTCCGACGCGACAACAGCGACATCTGATCAACTGACTTTGTTGGCGCTGTGAATGTTAACATCTGAATGACGTGCGCGGATTTCTTGCTTTAGTGAGTTCACCTCGGCTTGATATAGCACATATATCTGCGATTACTGACAGACAGTTAAAACCTCGGCATACAGAGGTTGGCAGTCTAGCAAGCCCGCGAGGTGGCATTGAGGCAAGGCCTCGATTTTCTCTCCTGGGAGACCTAAGTTTGGGTCGTTTACGCCTTGCCGGACGTTCAATAATATTGAATTCATTCATCCAGCAAATCTGCTCTGTCGTCTCCGTATGAAAAGGCTAATGACTAGATTCCATGTTTGACCAGATCGTCGGCGGCTGACTGGTATACCTCAACCATTATTGCACGAATTTTCATATACACGGAGTAGGATTAACAAGACTTAGCCCAAATCTGACGAACATGCATTCGCCTCTGCGGAAACCTGCTTGAGGAAATGTGAAATTAATTGTGGCTCAGTACGAGCTTGAGTTGATCAGCTCTTACCCTAAAAGCCGCATGGTGCATTTCTACAAGTTAATTAGGCTTTGTGGGATTCAGGTCCAAACTACGCGCGACTTAGCATGAGTTCAGGGGGTTGTGCTTCTCTTAATATTGAATGTGCAGCCGAACTTTCGCCATATGTCTTTATCCGCAAAAGAAAATGTGCGAACTTCCCATATTACAATCAAAACGTAAAAAAGAAAGACTAAGAGAACGTATAGATAAAAAGCTTTAGAGTGTAGTGCTACCTGACACATAGGTCAAACAAAAAAGTAAAATACATATACATTTTTTTTGCCTGGCATCTTATTTTGCCTGTTAAAATTCACTATATAATATTTATTCGCATTATCACTGTTTTATGTAACCAAAAAAATTTAAAAAACTGCAGTTCAGTACACCTGCCGTTCTTTTAGCCTTTTAGTCAGCTTTTTGAAACCGAATTTACGTAGTGCTTGTTTTTAGAATTTTTTCGCTGGATTATCTGTTTCGCCGTAGCGTAACGACATGATTGTCTCCTAGCCGGCATCTTTACACAAGTTAACGTTGAAATTACAAAGCAAGCTATTGGCTCCACCGAATCAGGAAGTTGTCCCAAAAATAATAATCATTACCACGTCATCATTCAAAATTTGTATCAGTTGTGAAAACTCATTTTAGAAATTCATA